TGCTCTGCAAGTCTCTATGGTTCAGAAGATTTAAAAAAAAAAAAAAACTAACAGGATGGTATTGAAAAGCTCCAAACATTGTGGAACGAAACACCCATTTTATTCCAAGTTTGAAGTAGAAGAAAAGAGGGTGGTATTTTGTTCTAAGTTTGGAGCACATGGAATGGCTGTTTCTAGCTTGGAGAGCTTTGCACACCCCTTATAAAAATGCTGTTGTTGTCTGACAGGAGACTAGAAGACAGGCACATCAATTCAGAAATGCTGAATATCTGACTTGAGGACTAGAACTGAAGTGAGCTTCTAGTCCTCCCACACAGAAATCCACTCCTTGTTTCTGCTGCTGTTCCTCATTTCAGCTGCACCTTTGAGTGGGTGGGTGAGTGTGGTGGCTGTATGGAAAAGCAGAGGATTCCATAGCACTTGCTAATATAGGATTCGCTTCCAGGCAGGGAAGGGTGTTTTTAAAATTTTTCCTGATAATTGAGCTGGAGCTTGGCTCTCCAAGTCTCCGCAAAAATGACACACACTAGTATCTTTAGGCAGGCTGGTACAAATGTCTTTAACTGGTTTGGGCTGGATTCCCAGGCTAAAAGATTACTTCCTGCTTTTGGAAGACACTCCCATCCTTGCATATCTTGAGTGAGGTAGTAACTGTTATCAGCTTGTTTCCCATTTTTCTCCCAAGCGTTTGCTGTCACAACTAAAGCAGTGCTTGGGCTATGCTCTGAGATTTGTGGGTGTGGCCTTGCTGTGCTTGTACATAATTGGTAAAAGTTGAGAATTATGCATAGCCTGGACTTCTTGTATTAAGCTGGAAACCAGTATGAACCATGGCTCTTTCCTAATGCCAAGTGATGACTTTGTCCCTTGGAATCTCTAATTGGCCGTATGCTTTCTGGTTCAGTTCAATTCCAGTCCGACAACAACTAAGCTAAGATTTGGTTGGAAAAGTGATCCTAGCATTCCCTTTTTTATTGATTGATTTAGAATTTTTTCAACAGTTCCTTATTTTATCAGTGAACAAGCATTTCCTTTAGTTTGGCCTCAGTAAGCTTTACTAGATTTCTCCAGAGTAGGGAGAGGCAGCCGGTGGCACTGCCAGTGATGCTGGACTTCAGCTCCCAGCATCTCTCATTGTTGGCTATGCTGCCTATGGGTGCTTTAGTTAGTAGCAACTGGAACATTGCTGGTTGGCTACCCCTGCTCTAGTGGAGTTTTCCCAAACCCTGAGTCTTCCACTTGAACTCAACTCCCATAATTTGGCTGTGCTGGTTGGGAAGTGACAGTCCAGTATGTCTGGAGAACGTCAGATTTGGGAAGGCAGTCTAGAATTTAATTTCATGTATTCGGACGAGTAGAAACGTGTTACTACTCTAACATCCAAAAGCAAGAAGGCAGGAGAAGAAGGAAGCTGACATGGAACCTAGTAACTTTTGATATGGATAAAGGGACAGTTCTAGCCCCTGGATTTCACTTCCAAGGAAACAGTGCCAGAAGTTCCCTTCTCTCCCTTTACCTGCTTTCAAAATTACTTTTTGGCAACAAGTTAGGGTTTGGTCTTGCCTTTTCAAAGAACAAAATGGAAGAGTCACATCCAGTTAAGAACAGCTTGCCATTTTGGACTAAACCTGTCCTCCCCACCCCCCTCTTAAAAGGAACCTTCTTTAACCAATGGGGAAAGCCAATGCAGTGATTTCCTGTAATTATTGCAGGTGTGCACAGCAGTGTTTTAACTGAAGCTTCAGCCGCTTTAGGCATGTAACTGACACACAGATCTCAGCAGCTTTTGGAAAGGGACACTTGAACCACCTACATAGTTTGCAACAGGTTTGCAAAGCTGGCTATTCTTCTCGGGTTGAATGGGGCAGGGGGTCTGGAAGCACTAAGGCAGGGAATAGCGGCTTTGGGATGATGTGGAATATGAGTCACCTGCCAAGATCCTGCTTGGTTGACCTACAAATAAGCAGTCTTTCACCCTTCAGGTTGTTCATTCATGCATTTTGATGTTTAGCATTCAGCATCTTTGTTGGGAATTCCTGCTCTTCCTTTTCTTCAGAATATTTTACAGTTGGAAGCGTCCAGCATTTCAATCTGAGACTGTCTGCCACCAGAGATAGATATTAAAACTGGGACGTTTTAACTTAGATGGCCATTAGTCAATGAAATTCTTAAACTAGGGGTAGGCAATCTGGCGATTTCCAGATGTTTTTCACTCTTATCAGCCCCAGCTAGTCAGTCCAGTGGATTTTGAGATTTGTTTTATTTTATTTATTATTGATTTAAATTTATCGGCCGCCCAACTCCAGTGGATTCTGGGCATAACTCTGTAATCCAAATGCGTGGAAGACATCAGGTAGTTTGCCCCTAGTGAGCAAACGCCATTTGAATGAAAGAGGGCTATGCAATAGCTCTTGTCCTCAGCGTAGCTTACGCTTCTTCAGTTTACACAGACTAGCCTTTTTTGATCTGCTCCCCTTGCTTTGAATTGGAATTCATCTTCTCATAATCCACGGGTTGTATGGCTGTGGGTTTTGGGTAGAACCTGTATGCCTCTTCTTTACTCTATACTTATTTCTTAGGTTCAGCATTCCACATGTTAAAACATTTGTCACTCTTCTTCAGATGTAAGAAGGTGAGTTAAGCCAGGCAGGAGAGGTCTTTGCCTCCTGTAAAATGATGATGGGGGAAGTTGTTTCCTAGAACCAGAAAAGTGCTGCTGATTTGCTTCTTTGTCATTCATCAGGTGCAGTTTTCAGCCTATGAACACCAATTCTACAGAAGTTCCTATTGTGTAGAAAGGGCAGACTTAATGTCCGTTGTGTGTACTGGACAGAGAAGTGTGTTATTTCTTTTGTAGTCCATCCAGTATCTGGAGGATTTCATGGTGATTTACAGACCCTAAAATAGGGTAAAATAAAACCAAATGTAATAACTTAATTCAGGACATTAGCATCACACTGACAATGAGTTACTTAAGGGGCAGAAGGTTGCAGACATGCGAATGCATAGCAGGTCACTGATACAGCCTGGGCTTGGAGTGATAGCAGGGACATGCTAAATCTGGAACTTGCATCTTTAAGGGACGCGCAGTCTCATCTGAAGTGAAGGGGATACCTCATTCCTGGACCTGTGAGCTGCCGGTCCAGTGGCTCCACTTTGTCAGGAATTAACTTCAGTTGGTTGCCCTGCATCCAGCCTATTACAGTGTCTAGACCAGTGTTTCTCAACCTTGGCAACTTTCAGATGTGTGAACTTCAACTCCCAGAGTTCTCCTGCCAGCCTTGGGAAGTTGCCACAGGTCTCAAAGTTGCCAAGGTTGAGAAACACTGGTCTAGAAAGTTCAAAACACATGGCCTTTGAGAAGCCTGTTTTAGGCTGTAATGTCTTGTGATAGCAGCAGCTACAGCCTCTCATGTGAACTTTTGAAGCCAGCCCTGTCTCAGGAGGAAGCAGGCTTGAAGGTAGGCAGGCAGGCAGGCAGGCATCTACTTTGGGGAATTTGGCTTGCTTTTCCCTGTCGATCTGTTTACTGCTGTTGCTTTCCAAAGAGATTTATAGCCAACAAATCCACCCTTGCCTTGCTTGGAAAAATTATTTGGAGCTAGAAAGTGCTGCACTTGTCCATATTAAACTGAGAACAACTGCTGAGGCATACTACTCCCCTTTATATTTTTATCAAAGAAAGTTGAGTACCTCTGGTTTCCAGCTTTGATGAGTAGTATTGCTTTTTTCAGCTTTTTATACTGAATCTGTTTTGAGGTATTCCATCCCTGAGTTTTCTCCTGATGCCTATCTTGTACTCCCTGTAAAACAGGGGTGAGGAGCGAATGGCCAATGTTTTGACAAGCCAAAAGTGGTCTTCATATCCCCTCGTTAGATGGAGAACTCAGCGTTGCTAGAGTTTAAGTTGTGGGGTGGCTGGAGCAAAGGCCTCAGAGCCTGATCCGAGGAAGCTGTGTCCCAACAGTGAAATAAATGGGGCATAAGTTGGGGGGAGGGGTATCAGAAGGGGTGGGGTGTTGGGAATGTGTAAAGAGAATGTATGAATGCAGATTGAATAATCCATAAAAATATAAGCATACAGAACTTGTATAGAATAAACTCATTTTTATTTCTAGTCCTGGAGGCAAAACAGTGCTGTCTTGGTTATCTCCTTTTTGATTTCTTGGTCCAGTTTGTTAAATTTTTGGAACTCAAGATATGCTATTAGGATGAGTCCCTTTGCTTGAATCCCTGTTTCTGCTCCCGATCCTCTAATGTAAAATGTTTCTGAGGGTCCTTGGACACATCACCTTTTGTTGTAGATGATAATGCTAAGATTTTGAGAATTGCTTGAAATATTGAATGTTTAACGTATACAATGTTATATCTACGTCCCAGGAAGCCTGCAGACCTTCAGAACTTGGCTCCAGGAACACACCCGCCCTTCATAACATTTAATAACGAAGTGAAAACTGATGTGAACAAGATTGAAGAGTTCCTTGAAGAAGTTCTCTGCCCACCCAAGTAAGTGTCACTAAGATGGTTGGGTAGAAGGGAAGAGTGAGATGCATATTGCTCTTTTCTGTCATCTTCCTTGCTGGATCTCAGAGTATGGTTTAGCTCACTTGAATTCTTAACTGTTTGTGCTGCACGCTATTGTACTATAGTAATTTATATGTTTGATAGGTGCAAATGGCAGCATGTTTCCAGCTTCTGATTGATATATATATATACAGTGGTACCTCGGGTTACGAACTCGCCTCGACTTACGAACTGGATCAGCGGCCATTTTCCCTGCTGCCACGCGGTCGCGGCTTTCTGTGGGCGAGGTCGCGGTAGCAAGGAGACGTTCGGTGAGGCTTGTGGTGTGTTTTGCGAAGGTTTTTGGTGTGCGTGTTAGCATGGCTCCAAAGAA